GCATTTTGCTCCACATCTCCATCTCCCCAACCTCATATCCACCCTATCCTTTGTCCTCTCATTTGGGCTTCTAAGTCCATCCTCTGACCCACTTAAGGAACTCTCAACCTGGTACTTTCTCCCTTGCTGTGGTCCTGCGTCCTCAGCCAGAAATTCAAGTCCTGAACCAACTGGCATCCCATGGCCAGTAGAGCCAAACAGGAGATCCATTGCTTTGCACAGCAGCAGCTGGGATCAGCAAACACAATTTAGCGGCAGAGATCTTGCTGTAACGCACTTACCAACTCAGGAAATAAGTGGATGAAAGCACTTAACAAGCCTCAGAGAGGCGGCAAGTACAGGTAAAGTTAGGAGTTGCGACTGCTATAGGTTCAGCTGCAGGACAATTTGGGAATTTCTGCATTACCTTACTAGGAAGCTTTTCTGAATATTTTTCTAAAATACAAAGTCATCATAAAGGACAGTTTCCAGCAAACAATTCTAGACAAAAAAAGGCTTCATCAAAAAATTCCCTGAGTGCCCTGAGTGTCTACAATGGAGAAAGCCTGATGGAGTTTGGGATAAACAACTCACTCGTAGTGCTGTGCACACATTGTCCCACACTGAGGGACAAAGCTCCCTGTTGCATAAGCAGAAGTGTCTCAGAGGAGGCCTCAATAACTCTCATGAGACACAGAGGGGAAAAAAAAATATGCAAAATGTAACCAGTTTCACTTTCAGAGGAAAATAACTTTTCCTCCTGGACATTTTCAGTGTCATTAACTCAAAGCAAATGGGTACATTTCTAGTAGTCTGTCCACAACTAACGTGAATATAGGCATTCGGACCCCGCAGGCTGCTTGGACCCATCACACAATGACAGCAAGAGGGTTATTTGCTGAACAGAACAGGGAATTTCCAGAAACAAGCAGTTTTCTATAACTAGATTCATGGTTACTTTTTGAGCATGGTCAGCATATCTAAATCAACTGCAGGATTCCTGATGCGCTGGAAAGGGGCTTTGTTGTTGTTTGTAATGCACTTATTTACTCAAGAAAGCTCAGCTCTGATTCAGCATCTGGTTCTCATTGAGCCTCAGCTTTTTTTAAACCAAGCTTTCAAGATGGGTTGACTGAAGCACAAAGAGGTCAAGAGACTTGTCTGAGGTCATGCAGCAAGTCAGTGGCTCCACTTGGACTGGAGCCCAGAACAGTTCAAGGCTACCACTCCATGGCTCTTAAAGAGACAATTTTATCCCCTGTGAAGTGATCTTATCATTGTGAAAGAGAGATTTGATATGACTAGTTCCCTCAAAGCTACAGCCTGCTTAGAAAGAGTTATTTTATTTGGAAAAAACTGTAGCGTTCCTATGTCTTAATGGAGCAAGCTGAACTAAAGGGTGTGATACTGATACACAGTTTGATTCATCTCACTCTTATATAACGCATAGGGGCTTTGCACAACAACTGTTGTCTCCAGGTCTCTGTTCATGTCCATCTAGCAGCATGTCTGATCATGAAATACACTCTCAGTTCAGCACAAGTTAAAGCCCCTTCTCAAGGCAAGAGAAATCAAATGCAGCACCTAAGGAGGAGCCCAAGCACTTGCTCCCATGGCGTCGACAAGTAAGGCACAGGCAGCACGTTGCAGCTGACTGACCAAATGCTGTAAGCTCAGCTCCACCCTCCATAACCACAGAGTGCACCTTTAAGCTCAGTGGTAGGCTGGGATACAACAAGCACTTCAGACAGAGGGCACACAGGCCCCATGGCAGACCCAGCCTTCCCCCTATCAGGGCTTACTTGCTCCAGCTCAAGAGAGATGTGATAGATACCAAGTTCTTCCTCAGGAAGCATGGTTTGGCTCCATCTTTGTTTTCTAGGGGTAGGGTGAAGAAGGTGTTCTGGAAGGAACAATACCAGAAGCTACGCAGACAGCTAAGAGGTACTAAAAAGCTGGAGCTAAGCCAGATGGGTGCCACATGTCATTCTGTGGAGCCCTTTGCAAATTGGACTAACCTGCAGCAGACTCTGCTACTTCACAATGCAGAGCTTTGCTCAAGTCTTTCCAATAGTAAGTTCAGCACCTTAAAGATTAAAGTTGCAGAGCGCTAGGGAATGGTACATTATTTTTCTAGCACTGTTCTAAGAATAAAAATGCCAGGTTTTAAGTTTTTGTAATGTTTAATATAGTAAAGGAAATAGTAAAGGAAACACTGAAAATGGTGTACATGCCAAAAGCGAGCATAGGTGCGGCCAACTTTCTTGTTCTTATGAGGTATATACCCAAAAATCTTTTGTATGGCCAAGAACCACAAAATAAATACCACATAGCTCAGGGAGCCCAGGGAAGAGATAACAGTGACTCTCCACGGTTCCCGATGTGGGATGGGGTTAGATCGGGTGTGTAGCTGGGTCCAATGACAACTTGAAGACGTAAGCCTCCGTAGCTACTGCCTGCTCAGTTCCTCTTGAAGCCAGGGATGTACATTCACCAGCAGCCTTTGTGTCAACATAGCCCTGCTGCTGCAGCAGATCAGGCACCATACCTGAACTGTTGGAGAACGTCGCAAAACAAGAGCCGTGTGAGGCAACTCTTGAGCTAGCTGGATGCATTATCCAAAATTGAAAGCCCTTCCTAAGTCCTACTGAAGGAGTGCATACTTTTTCTATTTACAGGTTCACAGATGATGTAGGCTCCGAAGAGAGGCACAGCCTGGTGAAAACTCTCAGGACTTCACAAGATCACACGGGTGTCACTAACTTTGTGGTACTCTAAATCCGATTCCAGACACCACTCTACATATACTTGGTTTTGATCAAATGTTTGAGACTAGCTGGAATGGGGCACCAGCTTCTGGGATTAGTTTCACAGCAAGACAAATGACAGCCCAGTTTTCCACGTCTCAGAGATTGCCCCTTCCAAACCACAATACACTGCAAGCCAGTTCATGTGTCTCCAGGGACAAACTGCTTCTTCAGCAATAAGCTGGGAAGAGTCACTGCACACAGGACAGGGGGCTTCTGCACACGAGATTTGTGCCAAAAGCCAAAGGAAATCCTCCATGCAGGGTTGAGAAGGAAGGGATTGGGCATGACAACAAAACACTGTGTGGAACAGTGCCTTGGACACTAATATGTGGTTCGGTATTCAGTTTCCCTGACAAACAAGAAAGAATCCCTTAACAGATCCAAATGCCAAGGCCTATCCCAGGGTCAGGCGGTGGAGAACCACTGGCTGAACTATTCCACCCTTGTGTTAAATTTGATTTTTTTTTTTTTTTTTAAATTTAAATGGCTGAATGGCTCCCCCTCCTTTACAACTTGTTTTTCTTCCAGTTCAAACAAAGACAGCAGAGCTCCTCCTCTGCTGGCTGCATGATGGGGCAGTGCAGGCGTTTGCTTTTGTTTACTAACTCTCCCACATGCTTGGCTGACACACAATTCGCCTGGCCCGGCAGTCCTGGCTGCGGTCCTGTGCATGGTGCTCAGAGCCACTGCAACACACAGCTCGCCTGAGGCTCAGTGACAGTGAAGAGCCAGACCAAGGGCAATTTTAGTGGGCCTTTTTGGGGGGGGGGGCATTCTTGGGTGTATTTCCCAGACATCAGATAGGTACACTCCCCAGATGAAAGGGGTCAAGTTACAACCAGTTCCACAGCTTCCCTTCAGGGCTTCTCACAGGGATGGTTAACCTTCCCCGTGCTGTGAGAATCTGGCTACAGAGCAGGGCCTTCAGCTATTGCTGGTGAAAATGTAGGAGTGGGGAAAACCCCATTCAACCAAACACAACATATATTAAAAAGCCCATGGTAGCTGGTTATTTCTCAAATTTGCAGAATGACATTCATAGCCCAAAACCACCTACACATTTCTACAAATAATCTTCCTGTTACAGCTCCTTTAATCCTTCTGTTGCTTGAGGATGCCCCAGCAGTTCTGGGGTCCCAGAATTCCCTCATCTCTTTCACGCCAAAGAGCACCAAAATCCTGTCCAGCCCCAAGCCATATTCTCTGACTGGAACAGAGTTCCTCACTTACCTTTGAGAAAAACTGCAACAGAGCCCATAGCTAATAGAGTAACAAAATGCAGAGCAACTCACTTGGAGTGAGAACTTTCTGTCACTCTCAACTCGGCAAGAGCTTCTTCACATGCAAGTAGATATACACTCTCCTTGCTGGGCTTGCATAAGGTAGAAAAAGGGCTCCTTGTATTGCACTTCAGCCATCTCTGCCAAAGTCTGCACAAGCTGGGATTTCCATTTCTTCACTATTCAACAGGGGAAGGAGGGCAAGTAAGGGGAAAAAAAAATCAGGGTTTTAAGGGGTGTTGTTTTGCTTTGTTTCTTTGAAAAAGAACAGTTTCTTCTTTTACAAAGAAAACAAAAACAAGATTCTGGAGTGTGGTTTTCAAACCTGATGGCATCGTGCAGCTGTCTTTTGTTGTGAGGAAGTTAGTCACAAGTCTGAGAGATACTAACTAGGACCGTCTTGGAGAGGAGTAACTAGCAAGTCTAGCATGATCTAAATATACTTCTCAACATTTGCTCCTTATCATCTAGGGATAGTAGTCTCATCAAAACAGATTGCAGGCTTCTTGCCATTGCCAAGATGAGGAGCCAGAGAGGGCCACTTGTGCCACAGAAGAGAAGATGCTGAAGGTGAGGGGAGCAGAGAAGAGTAAAAGCTGTAACAGAAAGCCGGGGGAGAGCCCTGGAGAAAGCTTCAGTGACCCTGTCACTGATCAACTGCAAGAGCTAGAATAGCAACCGCTAACGCCAAATGGGCTACTGTGCCAAACAGTAAATGCAACCCCAAACATCCTCTTCCTTCTATCCATCTATCTTTAGGAAGAGTCATCAATCTAGCATAAACAAAATACACAGTGGGACCTCAGACATTTTATTGCTGCCAGCAGTCTCCTTAGACAACAGCCTGCTTAGCTGATGCCTGGAGCCAGCTTTCTAGAGCACCACTCCGGGATAACCGACCCCCCCACCTACCCCTTCAGAAACATCCTACCCTCTGAATGTGGAGCCGGTGGAACTGGTCTGCAATGCACTGCAACTTCCGTGCAATCTGCACCTCGGCACGTGCTTCTCGCTGACCCTCCTGAGGCTCCTCTTGGAGACGTGGATCCAATGCAAAGCCAACTGGAGGAACATGTAAACGGTAACCAGCATTCCCTGCAAAACATAGATAAGAGTCATTCTTCCAGCAGAAAAGAATGACTCTTCTTTTCAGTACACTTCACAGAGGAAAGCGCTGCATACAGTCCTAAATTTTTGACTCACGTTAAAGTCCAGCTTCTGAAGCCCAAACAATGACTATGCACTGTAAGCATGCAGTAAAATATTCACTCAGCTTTTAAGTAGATTTATATTGATTAAGCAGAGCACCGTGTTGCTTCCCATAACCAAACAGCTGGCAAGATCTTACACTCGGTTCTTTTTGCTGTTCATAGTTCAGCCAAGGGGTGAGATTTTCTTTTTAATGATAATTTTACAATATCTCTGCCTCAAGCAGTCTCCCATTAAAAGTTGCTGTATCCTTTCTGTCAGGCTTTTCTCAGTTCTCTGGCATTTAGTGGGACTGATCTGAATTAAACTTGAATTGGATACACAAAAATGAGTGGTGTCCCATCAGCTACTAGTAAAATACTAGACAGACATCCTACTTATCCAATAACTTTTACTCCAGGAAAAAGCCTAAAACCTGTCCCATTAAGTGTAAACTTTTGCATTTCCCTCTCTCCACTGAGAACTTCTAGAGTCTTCCTACAGGGATAAGATAGCACAAGAGGTTAAGAAAATGTAGGCAAATGGCAGAATAAAAGGCATGGTGAGCACTTAAATGTCTATCAGTAAAATAAAATGTGACAGAATAAAGCCAAATAAGAAAAAAAACAGAAGCATTGAAGACAGCAGAAGCAATGAGCAAGTGCCTAGGCCCTGCAGTGGGCAAGCAAGGGTAAGAAAGTATATGCTATCTTCCCCAGGGAGTAGGGCAACAGCAAAATAACTGAAGTCCTTCAAACACCCTAATGAAAAAAAACCCTTGCCTGACTGGGGAAGTGCTAAATGGACAGTTTCCTTTCTGCAAAGCTGGTGACACTGGAGTGCTCTTACCATAGAAGAGTCTCCGGGGCTCTTCAGTGACTCCACAAGGCAACATAACATCCTGACTGGAAGAGGACAGGCTGAGTGTTTGAGTTGCCTTGTCCTGCTGCTCGGGATGCCTGCTACCGGGACCACAGCAGTGTGTGAGGGGGAATAGTTGAAACCTCCCCAGAAGGCAGCTGTAGGACTGGTTCTGTGTGAAAATGCCAGTTGCAGTCATCTCACCAGGCTGACCTGCAAGTCCAAAGTCATCAGAGTGAAACACGTCATCGTCCAGCCCATCCAGGCTAGAATAGTCCTCTTCCAGGTAGCTGGGGCGATCCATCGCTCCTGCAATAAAAGGACATTTGAGGAAACAGCTAAGACACAAGAATGCAGCCCAGGAGAGAATGCCTTCCACTCCAACTGGAAAACATAGCTCTTTCTTCCATGCCTGCCTTCCCTCCCAGTGCTGTCCATCTGGCATGGGCAGGAGAGGTGAGTGACTCAGTGATGAAGATCAAGGCTTTGTGGGAAGTCCTGGAGTGCTGGGCCAGACAACACAGAGGCTGCCATGTGTCTAAGGCTCCACCCTTGGCTCCAGTTCCACAACTGGTCACAGTGAGGGAGCCAGCCACCTACTGCAGCACATAGAAACTGAAAATACATCGTCTTAAAAATCAACCCTAGTCCCTCAAAGTGCCCTGTGCCAGTCAGCTTCTTTGACATTTGTTTTGCTTTAGAGTTTGAACTCTGAAGTTCACTTTTTCCCCATCTACTATTGATTGATGAAGTAAAGCTTTGCAATTACAAGGCTGCAATGCCAACCTTTTAAGAAACCCTAGTGGCTGCAAAACTCACAAGAGCTGGCAAAGCTGTTTCTGTCAAGCTCTCCTTAACTTTTCCCCTGTATAAGGGCCAACTTTCCCTTCAAGTTTTTATTTCTTCTCTCACCTCAACTACAGAAATATACCCAATAGCCCAGTCACTTCATCACCTCTCTTACCCTAAAGAGGATCTGCATTATTGATGCACCCTATAACTAAAGAAAAAGATTTGCTGGTGTCAGTGTTTAAAGCAGGACTTCCACAGTTGTCACCGTAAACCCTCCTGAGCCCCGTTGCAGCACAAAATTGGACAAAGATGATGGCGGAAACAAAGAAAAAACAACACACACAGAAACACCCCAAAATCCCCCACCAAACCCTAAATCACGATTTAAGGGCTCTCTGCAAACATACCGTAACTAGATTTACCAAAGCAGCCCTGAGTCCCTTTACTTGTTACCTGTGCATCTAACCCAATTGGAAGACAGTCTCCTAAGAGATCCATCTCCAGGATTTCCACCCAGTTCCAAACAAGGCAGTGAAATTCAACTCTTCACGTCTCTTCCTTTGCTCTGGTTTGCGAAGCATTTAACAGAACGGAAGACTAGCAAGAGGAATTTCAGGCCTGAAGGAGACATTAATAATAACTTTATAAGGTTGCGTTCAGTGCTCCCCTTGGTACTTGCATCTCCCCCCAGGTGAACGGTACTCACCACATCAGCACGTTAGAGGAGACACAGGGACTGAATGGTGCAAGAACTATTTGTGCGAGTCTCCAACTTGGGCATTACGGCTATTCAAGTTATTGCCGCTCAGCGGCACACTCCAGCCCAGCCACAATCTCCCAAGAAGAGGGGGACAGATACCAGCACCACAGCTGCATCCAGATCTGCTGGATGACAGCAGTGCTATCTGGGCATAACTTGTTCTTCAGTAGCTTAAAGTAGTACACCAAAACGAGTTTTAGGCAGAGACACACAAGTACAGGTCTTCTGCCAGTTCTTCTGTTGGATCCCTCTCACCTGACAGAGAGGCACAACGATCACATATTTTGTCTTTGCAGTAAGATTTGCCAGATCTCATCTGTCAGAGCTCCACTGGGATGCACGCACTCATTGCAATAAAGTGCAACAGAGACACAAAGCTAATAGGCAGACCCAATGCCTACAAGAAGGTTTAAAAAGCAAAGAGTTTTATTCTGCCTCTCACAATACAGTCACAGTTTATTCCAGAGCTCTTAGAAAATGCTAAAGAGAGAATACAGAAGTAGTCTAATGGATAACTTACCCTAAAATTCAGTTAATTTCTTTCCACGATCTTAAAACGTAACTCATTCAAAGAGCCACAGAAATTGAGGGAGGTAGTTTCTCATCTGGGAGGTGCATTGAACAAGTTAGGCTCTGAAGTTTCCGCAAGACGTGGAAACACACGTATAGAAGTCTGTGCACCTTCAACATACTTTTACTCACAGCACTTTCAGGAGAAAGCAAGAAACCCTCCTAGCTGAGGAAGCCAGTGTGGCGTCAATGAAATTCTTATACGCTGCAATCACATGCCTACTCTGACAAACGGAGGGGGCAGGAAAACCAGAGGGAGGGCTCAGCAGCCACGTGCGTGCCAGCTTCCCAAAACAAAGCTGGCCGTCTCACTTCAGGACTGAGAAGTTCTTTTAACTCTTCCATTTCCTTTGTGTTGTGGGCTCCGGCACCGCAGAATTACTCCCATCTGAAGGATTTAAACGCTGCTTCTCTGTTCAGCAGTCCTAAGCCACCACCCGTGTCCAGCACCGCACTCGTCAGCCACCGCCGCCGAGAGCGACTCCAGAGGCGCAGCATCCACCGCAGTTGCCAACACAACACCGGTGCGTTCCCTTGCAATAATTAAAGATCATTTACCTCCATAAATCTCTGCCTTCTCCACGCTGACTAAGCGCGTTCCCAGCACTGTTTGCACAGCAGCGGGTGCCAGGGGCGAGAGACAAGCGCTCCGGCCGCCCTCGCTACGAGGAAGCGAGCTCTGCGCAACCGAGGGGGCGAGCAAAGTTTGTTTTAAGCCGCGCGCGCGGGCTGCAGCGCCAGGGGCGGCC